AAAAGAACCAAATAATAAACATAGTAAAAGAACACATAAAGAAACACAATAGAAGAAACTCATAAGAAACATAGTAGAAGAACCACATAAGAAACACATAAGGAAACCAGTAGAAGAAACTCATGAGAAACACAGTAGAACATGTTTAAAGATCAGAAAAACCCTAAATCGGAAAAGATAAAGGCTTTAAAAGCAGAGTTTTTGAAAGAAACTTTTGAGAAAACGTTTGCAAGCTTAGAGTAAGCACAGATCTACAACGAATCTAAAAGAATCAGAAGAACTCGACAGTTAGGGTTTCAGAAGAAACCCAGAGAGTGAAAAAGGCTTGGAAAACATCGATCTAAGCAAGAGAAGTCAATATCAGGCTCGAACAACCATGGTTGGCCGGAGCAAGATTGGAGACAGCCATGGAACTCGAATCGAACAACGTTTGTGCCCAGCTTCTTCATGATTAGGCCTTGAAACTTTAGTAACCAGGCGTGTAGGAGTTATAGGAGGCCGGTATAGGACTTCAATGGCCTTGGAAGCCATGGATTCCGGTGGTTTTAGGGTGGAAGTGGAGAGAGGTGGCTAGGGTTCGAGAAGCTTTGAGAGAGAATTGAGAGAAGGGGCGAGGGATTCAAGGGTGGCTACATAAGCAAATGACATAGGGTTTGGGGGGTAGGTCGGGTTAAAAAGGAAGGGGTGAATATGAGCCGTTCATCTAAGTGATCAACGGCTGGGATTAAAAGGGGGATCCGGGCGAGTTATTAAAAAGGGTCGTGAGTTGGGTAGATTTAGGAATTGGGCTAGGTAATTGAATTTGAAATTGGGTTTAATTGGGTGCAAAATCTGGCTAAAATTGAAATGTAAATGGGCTAACATTTAAATAGCCATTTTTCCTTTATTTTTTTTATAAAAAATAGTAAAATAATTTTTAGAAATAAATTAAAGGTACTAAAATGATTAATAATACGTAATTATCAACTTAAAAATATTGGAGTCAATTTTATAATTATAAAAATAATTAAATCTTAAAATAGGCTAATATCGCAATTATACGCAATTTAGCTTTAAAAATACTAAATAAATTTGTAAAAATATACAAAACTTATGGCAGCTATATTTTAATATAAATAGGAGAATCCAATAAGTGAATCACCCAAAATGATAATTTTGGAGATAATTATTGGGTTTTTCTTGATAAAATAGGGCAATAAATAGATTTAAAAATCTTTAAAAATTAAGAGAAAAATAATAAAATCTTGGGACATACTTATATATGCATATACATGCTATTTTAAAAGTATTTTGCATATTAAAATATACGGGAAAAAATTAGGTATCAACAGCTCGTATGATAGCAAAGTTCTTTAAGATACAAAGTGTTTTTGATATAACTAGAATGCTTCTTTAAATAGTTGATACATGCATACATGTTTTGCCATCGGGGCTCGACAATTCTATATGGACACGGTTCATTTGACCGTTTGGCCCATTACAAAGTTTTCCTATCGAGGCCCTTTTAGGTGTGAAGTATCGTTCTCAAAAGTATAACCTCCAAGGGTGATGCCCCCCTAGTGTTCGAGGTTGATTGAAAAGAAGCCTTGAATACTTATTGAATGTTCCTTAGGTAGCATATAGGTGTTTCCTCGTTAAAAACCTTGCCGGTAAAACCCATTTGGGATAAAACCCAATCTAAGAAAAAAAGAGTGCAATGCATGCTTTCAAACCCAATGTCTTCGAGTTGAAAGGTGCCTCGATATCTTCAACTGAACATCTACAAGGAGTTAGTTTTAAATACAAACAGAAAAGGGGAGAAGGTCATACCTCAGCAGTAATATTGTTTAAGCAACGACACCTTCCAATTGTTTGGTAGTTGCTCGCCTTTCATTGTGCTAAGTTTCTAGGATCCTTTCCCTACGAATCCGAGGACACGGTATGATCCTTCCCAATTGGGACCTAGTTTCCCTTCGTTTGGGTCTCGAGTATTAAGAGTGATTTTTCTCAGGACTAAGTCCCCGACTCTAAAATATTGAAGATTCTACCTTCTGTTGTAATACCTTTCGATCCTTTGTTTTTGCGCGGGCATTCAAATTAACGTGGCCTCTCGTTTTTTATCTAGTAGTTCGAAGGAAGTGTTTATAGCTTCGCGATTTGAGTCCTCGGTGGAATGCCTAAACTTGACATTAGGTTCCCCGACCTCGACTAGGATCAATGCTTTAGACCTGTATACTAAAGAAAACGGGGTCTCCCTCGTGCTGGACTTTGATGTCATTCGATATGCCCACAGTACTTCAGGCAATACTTCTCTCCACTTCCCCTTTGTATCATCTAACCTTTTCTTCAAGTTTTGAATGATGGTTTTGTTTGTGGACTCGGCCTGATCATTTGCGCTTGGGTTGTAAGGTGCTGATAGGATCCTTTTGATTTTATGGTCCTCGAGAAATTTTGTTACTTTGCTACCGATGAATTGTTTCCCATTATCACATGTTATTTCGGCGGGCATCCCGAACCAACATATGATGTGGTCCCATATGTTGTCGATGACTTCTTTTTCTCTTATCTTCTCGAAGGCATGCGCTTCAACCCACTTTGAGTAGTCACTCATAAACAAAATAAATTCAGCTTTACTTGGGGCCGTTGGTAGGGGGCCGACGATGTCCATCCCTCATTTCATGAATGTCCATAAGGATACGATCGAATGGAGTTGTTCACTGGGTTGATGGATCATCGGTGCAAATCTTTGGCATTTATCACACTTTCTGATGAACTTCTTGGTATCCTTTTCCATGTTGTCCCAATAATACCCCGCTCTGATCACCTTGCGCACCAGAGAGTCTACACCAGGATGGTTCCCACAAGTACCCTTGTGGATTTCTCACAGTACGTAATCAGTATCCTCGGGTCCCAAGCATACTACTAGTGGTCCATCGAAGGTTCTTCTATACACCATTCTGTTTTCGTCGAGTGAGAATCGAGCTGCTTTGGCTCGAAGTGTTCTTGATTTTTTTGGGTCTCCGGGGAGCTTTCCATGTTTCAAGTAGTCGATGCACTTATTCCTCCAATCCTATGTTAGACTTGCTAAATTAATCTCTGCATGGCCTTCTTCGACCACCGACTTCGATAATTGGACGACAGTCCCCGGGATAATATCATCTTCTTCAACTAATGACCCCAAGTTCGCAAGTGCATCGGCTTCGCTATTCTGTTCTTGAGGTATATGGTCCAGTGTCCATTCCCTGAAGAGGTGCAATGTCATTTGAAGTTTGTCCAAATACCTCTACATTTGATCATCTCGAACGTCGAAGCTTCTGTTTACTTGATTTTACTACCAAAAAGGAGCCATATTTTGCCTCGATCACCTCTGCTCCAAGGCCCTTGGCTAGTTCAAGACCTGCAATTATGGCCTCATACTCGGCCTCACTGTTAGTCAATTTAGAAGTTTTGATATATTGCCTAATGACACTACCCATAGGCTGTTTTAAAACGATGCCGAGCCCGGACCCTTTCACATTCGAGGCACCATCTGTGAAGAGGGTCCATAACCCCGACGACGTACCATGTTCTTAACAAAAGTTCCTTTTCTACTTCGGGCACGAGGGCAAGCGCGAAATCGGCCACAAAGTCCGCCAAAATTTGAGACTTGATAGCTGTTCGAGGCTGATATTCGATATCATATCCTCCAAATTCGATGGCCCATTTGGCCAACCTACCCAATAATTTGGGTTTATACAAGACATTTTGAAGTGGGTACGTGGTGAGCACACATATACGATGGCATTAAAAATAAGGCTTTAGTTTCCTAAATGTGCTTATTAATGCAAGAGCTAACTTTTCCAATTGGGGGTACCTGGTTTCAGCATCTCTTAAGGTCCGACTCACATAATAGATAGGGAATTGCATACCTTGCTCTTTCCGAACCAACACTCCACTTACCGCCACCTCAGACATGGCTAGATACAAGTAGAGTGTTTCATCTTCCTTTGGAGTATGGAGCAGGGGTGGGCTCGAGAGATACCGTTTTAATTCTTCCAAGGCTTGTTGGCATTCCGGAGTCCATACGAAGTTGTTCTTCTTCTTGAGTAGGGAAAAGAAATTATGGCTCCGATTTGATGACCTCGAGATAAATCGGCCTAGGGCAGCTATCCTCCCGATTAGCCGTTGTACGGCTTTCACATTGTTCACATGGTGATCTCCTCGATGGCTTTGATTTTATCGGGGTTGATCTCAATCCCCCTGTTCAATACAATGAAGCCCAAGAACTTTCCCCGAGCCGACTCTAAAAATGCATTTCTTGGGGTTGAGCTTCGTGTTATACTTTCTTAGGATATCGAACGTCGCCTGCAAATGGGTCAAATGGTCCTCTGCGCGCAGGGACTTAACTAGCATGTCATCAATATAAACTTCCATAGACTTACCTATTTTATGCTCGAACATCTTATTAACTACGCGTTGATACGTGACTCTTACATTCTTTAGCCCGGAAGGAATTAAATTATATCAATATGTACCATACTTCGTGATGAATGAAGTCTTTTCCTGGTCCTCCAGGTTCATTTGAATCTGATTGTACTCGAGTAGGCATCGAGAAAGGTAAGGATCTCGTGGCCAGCTGTAGCATCGATCAATCGGTCGATGTTGGGCAGTGGGAAAGAATCTTTGGTGCATGCTTTGTTCAAATCCTTGTAGTCTACACACATTCTATGTTTTTTTCCTTTTTTAGGGACTTCTACTGCGCTAGCTAGCCATTCAGGATATTTTACTTCCCTAATGGATCCTATCTTGAGAAGTTTGGTTACCCCTTCTTTGATGAATGCATGTTTTACCTCAGACTGAGGTCTCCTCTTTTGCTTCACCAGTTTAAATCTAGGATCGAAACTTAATCGATGGGTAGTTATCTCCGGTGGGATTCCTATCATGTCTAAGTGGGACAAGTCAAAACAATCAATGTTATTGATACGAAATTGAATGAGTTTTTTCGTGAGTTCGAGGGTTAACCCCGTCCCCAGGTATACCTTTCATTCTGGAAGATACTTGATCAATATGGCCTGCTCGAGTTCCTCGACTATGGACTTCGTCGCATCCAATTCTTTGGGGGCAATGAAGGCTCGGGGGGTGAGAAAATCTTCTTTTTCGTCCTCAACAACCTGTTCATCGGACACTTGCCCCTCGGGCTCAACCGAGAACACGGACTGTGATTACTATTTGGCCACCTATTCATCCTTCGGCTTTTTTGATGTGGATGATGTCGATACCGGTGTCAAGTCGTGCACTGCAAACATCTCCTTAGTTGCATACTGCTCTCCAAATACTGTTTTCACGCTATCCTTTGTTGGGAACTTCATCACCTGATGGAGGGTCGATGGCACCACCCTCATGCAATGGATCCACGGCTTTCCAAGCAAAGCATTATACCTCATGTCACCTTCGACGACATGAAATTTTATGTCTTGTATGGTTCTGATCACGTTGACTGGGAGGATGATTTCTCCCTTTGTTGTTTCACTTTCCATGTTAAAGCCATTCAAGATTCGAGATGCCGGTATGATTTGATCGAGCAACCCGAGTTGCTCCACGACCTTTGACTGGATTATATTTATCGAACTACCTACATCCATGAGAACACGTTTAACTTGAACTTTATTTAAAAGGATAGAAATTATCAGTGCACCGTTGTGAGGCTGAGATACGGCTTTGATGTCTTCCTCGCTGAATGTGAGGGTGTCCTCGGGCATGTAATCCCGAGTCCGTTTCTCCCTTCGAATGGATACTTTGGTACGCTTGAATATAGGTCCTTGTGGGACGTCGACTCCACCGATGATCATGTGAAGGACATGTTGAGGTTCCTCAGGTTCATTCTTCCTGCCCGCATCTCTTTCCCTGAAGTGATTCTCAGCTTGATCACTTAGGAATTCTCGAAGGTAGCCCTCATTGAATAACCTAGTCACTTATTCCCTTAACTGTCTGTAATTTTTGGTCATGTGCCCATGAGTACCGTGATATTTTCACATCAAGTTGGGGTTCTTCTGAGAAGGATCGGTCTGTATAGGCTTGGGCCATCTAGTATCTCTAATTTTGCCAATGGCTGAGACGATCCCTGAGGTATCGACGCTTAAGTTGTACTCCGATAATTTGGGCGCCTCTGCCGGTCCAGAGTGCATATCAAACCTGGTTTTGCTCATGAGTCCCCGAGAACTTTTACCTCGATCTGCTCTTTGATCATTCCGAGGTATGTTATGCTTTGACACGTTCCTTCAATCCTCGACATATGGCTGATATCTTTCCTTATTCGACCTCGACCCCCTGTTTGCATTTCCTGACTCCCTTACTAGTAACTTGCTTGGATAAAATGAGCCCGAGGGGGATCCCAACTGGTCATCCTCGACCCTAATTTTTGATTGGTAACTTTTATGCACATCTACCCAAGTCACAACAGGATACTCGACCAAGTTCTGCTTCAGCTGCTTCGAAGTTATCGAACTTCGCTTATTTAGCCCCTGAGTAAAGGCTTGCACGGCCCAGTCATCGGAGACCAGTGGTAACTCCATTCGTTCTGATTGGAAACGGGATACAAACTCCCTCAGCATCTCATTCTCCCTTTGCTTTATTTTGAATACATCGGACTTCCTCGTTGCAACTTTTATTGCACCAGCATGTGCCTTCACAAATGAGTCTGCCAACATGGCAAACGAATCGGTAGAGTTCGGGGGTAGGTTATGGTACCAAATCATGGCACCTTTAGACAGAGTTCCCCTAAACTTTTTCAGTAAAACAGATTCAATCTCATCGTCTTCCAAATCATTCCTCTTTATGCCACAAGTGTATATGGTGATGTGCTCGTTGGGATTAGTGGTTCTATTATATTTCGGGATATCTGGCATCTGAAACTTCTTTGGGGTGGGCTTCAGAGCCGCACTCTGGGGGAATGGCTTTTGCACGAACTTCTTTGAGTCTAGTCCTTTCAAAATTAGAGGTGCTCCCAGTATTTGATCGACCCTTGAATTATATGTTTCCACCTTTTTGTCATTTTCTTCAATTTTCTTTTCTCCGGTCTCAATCCTTTTGGCGAGCTCTTCGAGCATTTTCAGAATCGTGGGGTCAATCCCCGAGCCACTTTCATCGGGCCTCTTTAGCGTTGGTTCAACATGCCGTGTGTTCACTGGTTCAACTATGTTTGGAGTTCTATTCTGACTCTGAAGTTGAGCGATTGCGACTTGTTGGGCTTGCAACATCTCGAATATCACTTGGAGGCTAACTCCTCCCTCTTCCATTCCTCGTGTTCTTTGGCCGTCGGGCCGGGCTTCCTTGTGTGCATTCCTTACGGGGTATGTGCTTGTGTCCGTGTTTAGAGCGTTGTGCGAACTGATATCAACTGGCTCCATATTTGGCACTCCCTCAGGGTTTATGGGTGGTACACCGACCCCTATACCGTTGTTTTCTCCAAGACCTTCATCCTCGTGAATAGGTGCATTCTGTGTGCTAGACATGTTTAATCAAAGAATCTTTGACAAGAAAAATTGTGAAGAATACCGTGTGTTATCAGAAAACTAGCACTAAAATAATCACTATTATCTTTAACCCCACGGTGGGTCAAAAAATGGGAGTAACAGTTAAATATGATTTGTGGTTTTAAAGATATGTGATTTATTCTAATACTAGTAAATATACAAGCAATATTAGGTTTAAGTAAGAAGAATTGATGAACCAAACCAGTGTTGTTAAAGCAATAAGGACCTCGAGCTCGATTTTCTTAGGGCCCTCGAGGTGAGCTAAGAGCAATGAAATATGAACAACAAAGTAAAAGCAATAAAGCTGAAGAACACTTGCTGAGCACGGTAAACAAGAAAAGCAGGGTAGAACATTCTATTGCAGTGAATAATATGTCTTTTACAAATGATTAGGGTCTCCTTTACATAGGAGGAGAAAAACCCCAATATAGTACATTCCTAATTGTGATAAAGAATTCTATTGGTATAGGTGTATACCAACATAGTACGGACCTGTACCATTTCGTACAAATCTTATCCTTTAATTTATGCCCTAATCCATGTGTCCTTGAGAAATTCACGCTCTTTATTGAGTGTCCTCGAGATTGTACTGCCCTCGATGTAGGTCGTGTGAGGCCTTCGATCTGCTTCCTCGAGGTGTGTGTCCTTCATCCGGGTCCGACCCCTACTTCGAGTCTCCCGGATTCGGACTCATATCCCAATTTAAGACTTCAAAATCGGGCTCCTTTCTTTTTATACTGGTAATAATTATGTCCGAAAACATTAAAATTTTCCTTGAAAAATAGGACACAAATGCCATAAGTGGTTCCACATGCATGCCACCAAATACATATACACAAGAGAGGTTGGCAATTTTATTGGTCAGGCCAATTAACCAACTCTCATTTTTTTTAAACCTCTCCCAAATTAGGAGGATCTATAGTGTTTCCACACTTTCACTCCATAGTGACTCGAACCCAGGACCTAACGGTCGTAGGTGGAGGTGTACTCCTCTCAAATCTCCCTATTCTCATGATCTCCACTCTTGACTGATTGTCTAGCAATATTTGTAAGAGTCTATATATATATATATGTGTGTGTGTGTGTGTGTGTGTGTGTGTGTGTGTGTGTGTGTGCAGGTTTAATTATTTTTGTAACTAAGAAAAAGGAAGCACCATTCTCCAAAAATTTGGATTAACTGTTCATATGATATTATACGATTTTAAAAATGAAATTGCACATTCATAGTGGACGAACATATATATAATCCTCAATATCCTGGCTATTCACAGAAGCAGATAATTAATTATTTTTTGCCGAAACTAATCAAATAAAGGCATTTACCTTTTTGGCCGGTCCGGTTAGGGATGACGAGTGATTCAAACCCTCGATATCAATAAAAAAATCAGAAATAGCCAGATTTACAATTGATAATTAAAAAATAGTCATAGTTTCAAAAGTAATCGAAATTTAACTACTTTTTTACGTAAAAATAAAATTCGAACAAAAATACCATTAAAAATTCAGAAAGGTTCCAGCATAATATGTTGTAGTTTGAATTTTTTACGTATGAGATTCTGGCATAATATGCTGGAATTTTATAATGTGCTGTAGCTCCAACATAATATGCTAGAAGTTTACATGCAGGAGCTCCATAATCCAGTATATATATTATGCTGGAACTTTTCGTGTTTCAGCAAAATAGTGACTATAGGTTTGAACGAACTCAATAGCTTTTGTTTAAACTATAAATATATTAGAAAATTTATTAAATATATATATATATATATTAATTTTTAATTGTGAACTTAGTAACTAACCCAGTAACTCAATAGCGTTCGATGACATATTCAAAATCCATAAATTTTAAACCATGACTCTGGTCTCTGACTTTACTAAATTATATTTAATTGATTGATGAGCAGGAAAAGCAAGGAGAGTCAAGTATGCAAGGTTATAGTGGTGCAAGTAGCAGTTCATTTTCCTTGAGCAGAAGGAATAATAATATTCAAAGTCCTCCTCCTTCACCAGCTCCAGCTTTCAAATTAAGAAACAAGATGAACCAATCTGCTAAAACTGAGGCACATCCAAATGCTCTCAAAAACATCAAGAATTATCCCATTTTGTTAGCCTCCATTACTGAGGCTACAAAGCATTATGAAGACAACAGATTAAGCCTCAATTGTAGGGCTATCTCCACCATTGACTTCAGAAATCATCATGATCTTGATGACAAGATCTCTAAGCTATTCAGCTTAGAACATAACTAATTAGAAAAAGTTGCTATATTATTGTTTACTCGTGTATTTGGTTTAGACATGAAGAAGTAGTGGCAGTTGTCTCCATGTGACAAGGGCCTGAGCCATGGAATCAGCGCCGCTAATAGCTTGCATAAGGATAGAGAACTTACATCAATACCCATTTATAGCTTGTTTGGATGGTCATTACCTATTGTATTGTATCGTATTGTTACTTTAAATATAGTATTTCTTTTGGTTGTTACTCAGATTTTATTATATCGTTTTGTTATATCCATCGTTATGTAACAAAGAAAAGTGACACTTTATGTAACGACCAATTTGGTGTGGTCGCATCATTACCATATATTTTTCTCTCAGCGGGCTCTTCCTTATTATTAAATAATCATATTTGACCTTTTAACCTATCTTTTTATGCGAAATACATAAACGGCCCGTTTAAGTTGTCCCCTGTGAGAATGCACGGGAGAAAATATGATTGATATTATTCTCATATGTTTAACATGATACAACGAGCCCTATATATATACACATAACATGTCCTATTCCTAATACATTTGGGATTAGGGTTACATAACTATTCTAACACTCCCCCTCAAGCTGGTGCATATAAATCATATGTACCGAGCTTGTTACATATGTAGTTAATACGAGGACCAGTGAGAGACTTGGTGAAAATATCTGCAAGCTGATCATTCGACTTCACAAACTTTGTAGCAATATCTCTCGAGAGTATCTTTTCTCTGACAAAGTGACAGTCAATCTCAATGTGTGTAGTTCTCTCATGGAACACTGGATTTGACGCAATATGAAGAGCAGCTTGATTATCACACACAAGTCCCATCTGACTAATCTCACCAAATTTTAACTCCTTGAGCAACTGTTTGATCCAAATTAGCTCACATGTCGCCATAGCCATTGCTCGATATTCTGTTTCTGCACTAGACCGAGCAACCACATTTTGTTTCTTGCTCTTCCAAGATACCAAATTTCCTCCTACTAAGACACAATATCTAGAAGTAGAACGTCTATCAGAAGGTGATCTTGCCCAATCAGCAACTGAGTATCCAACGATCTGCTCATGGCCTCGATCCTCAAACAATAAATATCTGCCTGGAGCTGATTTTATATACCGAAGAATGCGAACAACTGCATCCCAATGACTATCACACGGAGAATCCATAAACTGACTCACAACACTCACAGGAAAGGAAATGTCAGGTCTTGTCATTGTAAGGTAATTTAATTTACCAATCAACCGCATATATCTTGCAGAATCGCTAAGAGGCACTCCCCGTCCTGGCAGAAGTTTAGA